TGTCATCTGCAAACAGAGAGAGTTTCACTTCTTCTTTTCCTATCTGGATTCCTTTTACTTCTTTTTCTGCCCTGATTGCTGTGGCCAAAACTTCCAAAACTATGTTGAATAGTAGTGGTGAGAGTGGGCACCCTTGTTTTTTTATTCTTTAATATTCTAAAATGTCATGATAATGTGTGGAGATGTTAGCTTTTATTTCATTTACTTAGCTCTTTAGTCAATGGCCCCTTCCTGTCGAAGGGAAAGTTCAGCACAGGAAACTTCTCTTTTATTATTTTTTAGATCATTTTTTTCCCTCCACTTTTCTGTTCTCTCTTTCTTGGACTGTCATTAACTAGATGTTAGAGTTCCTAGACTGATCTTCTTTATCTTTTCCTTCATTTCCTATCTCTTTTTTTGTTCTCTGTTTTGGGAGGATTTCTCAATTTTATTTTCAGTCCATCTAGAGAATATTTTACTAGTTATATTTTAATTTTTAAGGAATCACTCTGTTTTAAAAGTGTTCTTTTCTCATAGAATACTGTTCTCTCTTTTTAAAAAATGTATATATTATCTTTCAAATCTCCCTGAGGTGTTAGAGGTTTTTTTTTTTTTAGTTAATTAATTTAATTGGCTGCTGCAGCCTCTTTAGTTGCAGCATGTGGGATCTAGTTCCCTGACCAGGGATTGAACCTCGACCCCCTGAATTGGGAACACAGTGCTTTAGCTTCTGGACCACCAGGGAAGTCCCTGGAGGGTTTTTTAAAAAGATATTTTCTGTTTCTTGAATTATCTATGTTACCCTTGAATAGGTTTTTTCTTTCTTTGTTTTTCTCATTCTCTTTTAACAAAGAATGCCTGAAACGCTGATTTGCGTTTACTCTGCTACTGTATAAATACCCTATTTTTTGATAGATTTTTTTTTCCCCTTAGTTAGGAATCTGACTGGAAATTTTTTTAAATTTGGGAGGGACTTTGCCTAAGATTCTTAACCTTAGAGTGAGCAGGTATAGAGCTATCCATGAGACTGTGGTTTCCTTTCTCTAGGGCTGATTTCGTGGATGTGTAACACGTGCTTTGGCACGGGGTCCTGAGTTTAGAAGCGTTCTGCACTTGCTTTGGTGCTTTGCTGGCGTCTTGAAATTCTTACAGATTTTTGGACATTTTCATTTTGCACTGAGCTCCACAGATTGTGTAGCCATCACTGCTCCTCTTTCCATTGTCACAACACCCCCCTTCCTCCTTCCTGCTCTCTCTCTTTTTTTTTTTTCTACCTACACCTGGAGTCTTACCTCTCCCTCTAAAGTTTCTCCCACTATGGAAAAATGCTTGTGCTCTGTAATTAGGCACAGTTGTTCTAAAAATCTTTAGTTACTTACCCTGTTTCCCATCGCATTTCTGATATCTGTCCTCTCTCATATGCACAACTGGACCTCTAATACACAGCTGGCTCCCAACTCCACTGTAGTTCCCCTAGTAGCATGTAATGGGCAGTTGCTTTCTCTTCTCTATTTAATCTGTTTTCTGGGTGACTTCCCTGGTGGTCAAGGTGTTAAGACTCTGCATTTCTAGTGCGGGGAGCACAGGTTTGATCCCTGGTTGGGGAACTAAGATCCCACATGTCTTGTGGCATGGCCAAAATAAATAAATAAATAAATAAACATTTAAAAAAAAATTTTGTTTTCTGTCTTCTAGAAGGTATCCCTTAATGAATTCCCCTAAATGCCTTCATTTTCTGTGTTGTTAAACATTTTATTCCTGTTTTGTAATTCTGGGCTTCTTGTATCACTTGTATCTCGGGATCAGTGGGAAGCAAATGCATTAACTTAGTCTACCATCTTGATTTTGAACAACTTCTTTCCTTCTCTTTGAAGTAAAATGATTGGATGCGATCACCTCGAAGGTCCCCATATATAAAATTTATTATTAAGTGTCACACAGGTGTAAAGTTCTAACTTAAACTTAGATTTATTTATTCTGGCACCTTATTTTCTTTTTTAGTTTTGCTCTTTTATGTTCTTTGTCCTTTGGTTCATACTTTTCCCCTGAATTAAATATATAGATGTACATGTCCTTTGACTTCACTGGAAACTGCAGAGGAGAACTTTAATAGTCAGGAGTACAATCACAGGCTTTAATCACCCTTTCTTTTATGTGATACCAGAAAGAATTATATTAAAAGTACAAAAATTATATTTTTTAAATTGTTACATAAGCAGCTGTGAATACATTTTAGTACTTATCAAGTGAAAACATGACCATATATTTATTGTATACATATATGCTGACAAGTTACTTTTTTCTTATTTCAATATTAATCCTTAAATATATAATGATAATGAATAATGTTGATCTGATGACTTATTGACTGTAACATAAAAATTATATAATGTGAACAATGATGGAAGCATCACAAATCCTGTGACTTACATGGTGTTCATGTTCATGTGTTAAATGTTGTTGACTGACTTTTATTGACTGCATTACAGAATTTTAGCTAAATTTCATCTTGGCTTTATGACTTTTATATCTCACATACAATTATATACCTTTTACGCAATTTGAAAGATTTTGGGAAAAAACAGTTGAATAAAATAACTGTTGTGATGAGATTTTGCTAATCCAAACAAAATTTTTTTGGAAGTTAAATCTAGAAAGGACCTAGAGGTTACCTAGAGTGTAGTCCAGTCTTCCAGAAGAATGAATTGTCTGGATAACACAGCTGCCAACCCACTGCTTACTGTGGGTAATTAAAATAATCTACCTGGCTAGTTAAATGTCTTCCTTCATTTCTGCTTGTGGTTTCTCCTTTACTCCTTGTGTGTTTGGTAAAAAGGATAACTTCCCCTATGCAGGGCCGCCTTCAGTTCAGGCTAGATCAGATATTCAGGTGTCACTAATAAATAGATTTTGAGTTTCAAGTGATAACAACAGAGTGTCAGCTGGCTTGTGTATGGTGTAATTTTTTACTGCTTTAACCACCACTTCTGTTGATATCAGAATACATTTTCCTTTTTTATGATTGCGTGTTTGACTTCCTTCTCAGACTAACAGCAGTGATCATGCAGCCATGTCGGTAAGTAGATACAAGCTCAAGCTAGCATGCGAATTAGAAAACAATGAACTTCCTGCAGGCTTATTTTTCTCTGCTTAGGTGCTTATGGAAAATTTTAATTGTTTTGGCAGTTTTCTTGGTACATTTGTAGTTTTTGTGGAAGCCAAAGTTTGAAGATAATAACTAGTTGTTTTGGTGAAGCAATCAAGATTCTCTGGGACTTGATTGTGAAAGTTAACATTATGGTGCATCTGTGGTGAGTGCAATGCTTTGGGAATATCTCTCTGTGGTCATCTCAGGCATGACAGGCCATGCTTGAAATATTTTCCTTATCTACAAATGAGTTCAATAGTTCAATAAGAATATATACTCTAGAGATTTTTGTGAGGGTTAAATGAGATAGTATACATGAAATGTTCAGAAAAGTGCCTGGCATAAAACGAACACTCAAAACATATTAGTTGTTATATTTGTTTGTAAGATTATTTGTTCTTTTCCTGAATGCTTTTTCTCTACAACACGTATCCCAGACTCTACTTGTAGAAATCTCAGTGCATAACACAGTATAGCTCATGACCCAATTCAAATGTTTCTTTTTCACCCCAAGCCCAATAGTGTTCATTGCCTTCCTCAGCACCTACTCTTTTTTAGTGGCTTTGTCACATTTTGCCCTTTATTGCATTTGTTCATCCTTTTCACCTCCAGTTACAAGCTCTTGAGAGCCGAAATAAGAACTCAAATGTTGTCTGAGTATACATATTGAAAAATATTCTTATTTTTGAAAAAATATCATCTAGCATTTAAAATTTAAATGTTCCTAACCTACATTTTGTCCTTTCTGTTCTTATTTCTATTGTCAAAGTTCAAATTTTGATTATCGTAATTGTCTCCTAATTCGTCTTTGCCAATAGTCTCTCATTACTTCTGTTCATCCTACATATCAAAGCCAGATAATCCTTTCCAAAGCACATTTTAATTTCATTTTCTCTATTCAAAAATTTCAAGATCTCTCACTTATCTACTGAACTAAGTGAAAATTCCATAGGCTAACAAATAAATGACCTTAGTCTCTTTCTGATACATTTCTGACCATGATTTAACCTGGGCATTTAAAGTGGAAAATTCACTCTGCCCTGCATCTAGCTTGAGTTTTCTACCTTGTCTTCATTTATAACTGTAAAAATTTTGAATCTCTTTCAAGAGCCATCTTTAATGCTACTACCTCTTTCATGAAGCTTTTACTGAGTCTGTTTAACCTTATGTTGAGACTTTGTCCCACTTTTATGGTACTTATTTATATTTTGTCTTGAACTATGGTTGTAGACTTTCCTTCTTTCTACTCGCAGAATTTAATGTCATTATGTCAGGAACTGTATCTACTCATCATGGTGTCTTCTATACTACCTAAACACTGTCTTACATGGAGGAAGTGCTTTATAAGTACTTTTAAAGTTAATATGAGAGGAATAGTGAATAACTAGACTATTATAAAGATAATTTTCTTGTGTGTTGAAAAAGTATGAAAAGTATACTGCAGGGAGTTCCCTGTTGGCCTAGGGGTTAGGATTCCAGGCTTTCACTGCCAGGCCCTGGGTTCAGTCTCTGGTCAGGGAACCGAGAATCCTGCAAGCTATGTGGTGTGACCAAGAAAAAAAAGTATACTGTAAAAATCAGAAGTTTTGAATCAAGAAATTTGTTTGTCAAATATAGAATACTTCTAGTTTTGAAGAGAAAGTTTACAGTCTTATTTGCAGACAGGAATTTAGAAAATACCTGTGTGAATGTGATAATAGTAAAGATGGTATCAGTACCATCAGATGAATAGAAATATTTGCATGGTTACTCGTTCTTTATACACCTCCTTGAAAGGATAATATAATAACTCAGATCACCACTCTCTAGATACAGCTATAAATGTTGAATAGTGATTAAATAGTGATTAAAACGAACCTATAGCATGAAAATAACTTGCAAATTCCCAACACTAAGACTAATACTTTGACTTTTTGAAGGGACAGACCCTCAAGCTTTCACTTGACCTTTTTGCTCATTTAATAAGTGTTCAGTTCATTTCAATAAATGTAGTAGTTGTTAAGTACCTGTTAAGCGTGCTTACAGATTTCCTGCAGATAGACCATATGCATATTCAGAATACAGAAATGATACTAACCTTGCTATCCAAAAAAAAAAGAACCTCAGATTATTTCCTGTCCTGTATTTAAGGATGGATAGACTTGGGGATCAGTTTTAGATAAATGTGAGTGAATAATTTAGAAAGATTTGGCGCTTGAATGTCCAGTGTTTTAAAAAAGTTACTTATTTGAAATAGTTCTTTCTATGGTGGTAAGCGAGGTATTTCTATGACACATTTTGATAGTTATTTCCATACTTTATAATAAGTTACTTACAAGTACACAAAAATCAACAAGAGCAAACCATTGACAGTATATCAGTGCAATGGAGAAAGTTAGAGAACTTTGAGAGAAAACATAAATGAAAAAGTTGAAAGCAATCAAGGTCCAGTGTTAGTAATAGAATTTCTATTTTTTCTTAAGCTTTTTCATAATGTAATAAAACAGTTAAGTGATTTCACTGTTGGAAGTTAATTGCAAAAGAAATCTTGCTTTTTAGTTGAAAGTGAACATACTTGAATTTTATAACTCTAATCCTTTTGGGTATTAAGTTGATGTCTCTATTAGCTAAATACTGACTAATCTTGGTGAGAAATTTGATTTCATAAGTTTATAAGCCTTATGTGTGTATGTATCACACAGCATACTTAAATATTTCCCTGCTGTCAAAGGTTGTAGACAACAGTATTTTGAATTGCTTTTAATGAGGGCATAGTTGGAAGAAGTAGTGGTATTAATAACGAAGGACTTTTAGCACGAGAATTTTGATAGGAAATCAGTGGATTAGGGGAGAAGTACAAGACCAACCTGTAAGTAACAGATTAAGGAGATATAAATGGAAATAAAGTGGACTCTATATACACACACAGAGTATTAGTACATACATGTATATGCACACTTAGAAATAACCTTTTACTTCACTCTCTAATGGCTATAGATGAAACAGACTATATAATTGATGCAAGCTTTATGAGCAAAGGATCATTTTTAACAGGAAGATTCAGTATCAAAAACAGATGAAAACATACCATCTAGCAGTTTCACTGCCAGATGGCAACAGAATTTGTGTTTGTAGGGTACTTTAGTTTTTGCAAATAGCGGTAAGTTCTAGGAATGAAAATAGTATCTTTCCTTTTAACCTGTATTACACAATAGAAAGAAAAAAATAGAAGATAGTTCTTTCACCATACCACCCCCCCCCCCAGCGTTAAGTAGGCCAAGGATGAGGGGAGAAAAGAGTCTAAAATATGTGGATAAGAGATTGTTTGAGTTGGAATTATGTTTATTATGAGCAGATAAAGTGAAAAAGACGTCAGATCCCCTGAAGTGAAAGAAAGGAGATGGTAGGGAAAGATGTTGGGAGTCAGAAGTTTCCTGTGCAAGCCACGATCTGGTGATGCTCAAGAACCTGTATTTTTTTTTCTTCCCTGTATAGAACAGACAGGAATGGATAAGGATGAGGATAAAAGAGATTATACTTTGCAGAGTGAAGTCCTAAGAAAAGTGCAAGTTTAGATGAATATTACATATATATGCAACAACTTAATCACTTCCTTTTCTTTCATTCAGGAGACTAGGCATTGTAAGGAAGCTGTTTTAAAACTTTCTGCCTCTGATGAAAATTGGTCTGGTAGCTGGTAATAGCATTGAGATTTAAAGCCTTTGTTTGGAAACAAGAAGGAGGCAGTTGACAAAGGCCTACTGTAGATGTCTATAAGGACTTATTTTTCACTCTCAGAATATTGTTGAATGTCATTTGCAAGACTGTTTTTAGAAAAAAGTGCTTAGTAGATGACTTACCTTGTTTGCCCCCTCCTCCCATAATGAATTTTGTTCTGTTTTAATATGTATCCTTCCCTCACAGGATACATTTCCCTGAATAGTTTAAACTCCTCTTCCAGGTACTCCCTCAACTGAAAGTGACTAATAGTATCTACCCCAACTGCATTCCTACAATCTAGGATTTAGCCCAATGAAATTACCTGTTCAAAAAATCCTTAATATTCTAGGTGAGTATACTCTAAACCTTTGAGAATTCCCAAATTTGAGAATATGGCTGTGCCATGTAATTTCTTTCAGAAAACACTGTAAGATACAGTTGAAAACTGTAGATCTTAACGAGAGTTACTTTATGCATGTCAACTAAAAGAAGACAGCTAAGCCAGATTGACTTGGGGAGGTTGGGACTTTGACTGTATTCAGTCTCTGAGTAGTTCCTCCCTGCCCACACCCCATTTCACAGAGTACCTATCTCAAATGTCAGTCTCAGTAAATGAAGCCCTACTTGTACTGAACTCTCAGAGTCATCCTTAAAAGGGTGAAATCTAGATATAAATGCCTTGGATGACAAAGGCCTACTCTGTGTTATGTTTGCATATGTATGGCTATGTTTATAATGTATTGGGCTTCCCCAGTGACTCAGATAGTAAAGAATCTGCCTGCAATGCAGGGGACCTGAGTTTGATCTCTGATTGGAGAAGATCCCTGGAGAAGGGAATGGCTCCTCACTCCAGTAATTTGCCTGGAGAATTCCATGAACATAGGAGCCTGGTGGGCTGCAGTCCATAGGGTCGCAAAGTCAGACATGATGAGTGACTAACACTTACTTACTTAGCCTCCTACCTGTATATATTAATAAGAGAGAGTCAGCTTGGGTGACATTTGTCCATTTTACTAATGATCATGTGGAAACAGTCTATACTCTTCTAACTTGTTAGTGATTCTGACAACTTCTTTGCAAATTTTAAGTTGTACTGGCGTTGTGAAATAGTAGTTTTTAATGATTATATAGTCCTAATACTCTGAGGTGGGTGCTTATGTAAAAAAAATGAGGCTCTGACTCTGCTATGATAGAGTTGTTGTTTTAATAACAGTTCTTGGATGTTTCAG